TGCTCAACTATTATATTAATTCATTAAGTCACTTCCCTAAAAACTTTTTTGTTTAAATTTATTTTTAATGAACGTTTCTCTTTTATTATTAGCAGATTATTCCAACTTGCTAGTGAATTAAATTATTTTATTTCTAACAAATTGCTATTTTTAATCTTAAACATTTTATTATTCATAAATGGTGTCGTTAGAAATTGAATAAATATCTGATGATTTCAAAGCAACAAAAAAAATATGTGATGATGATGATGATGTCATTTTTTAATTAAGTTATAAAAGAATATACCTTTTTGTTGTACTAATTAACAGCTACTCTGCTGTTCTATTCATTACATCACGCTATGAAAATATATTCTAAAAATGTTGCAAAAAAATGAGCTCTCCTAAATTTTTATAAAAATGTAAATGAATTTATTTCAAGAGAAAAAATTTTTTTATGCAAGGAAAAATATTCTTTATTTTGACTTTTTAATAATTAGTAGTGAATTTATATGGTCAAACTTCAAAAGATTCATTGCAATGCATCACAATTTATGAATTTCTTTCATATAAATATTCTGATGAATATTATTTATGATTATATCTATAATTCAAGCACATGTGAAATCATAAATATCAACTGATTGTATTCAGGTAGTAGTTTGGCTACTGACCAACGTCAATATCTTCATTGACATTACTTATGATGTTAATTATCTTAATAACAGTGATGATGATCACAGTTGACAAGAGATATATCATTCATCAGCAATTATTCTTGATCTATGACCCTAAAGTTAGCAGAGGTATCATTAAAGAAAAGAAATTATTCTGCTCTACTTCTTATCCTTTGACAACTTCTTCATTTCGAATGTAGCTGCTATTAAATTAAATTCTAAACTATAAGAAAGTCTGCATCATTTTTATTTGTGACCTAATTAGTTTTGAATATTTGCTACATAATTCAAAGATCACCACAACTTTATGTCGTCTATCATCATCTTATGATGTAATTTTTGATATTAATTATTATCATCAAGAATTATTATCATCAATGAAATGTAATAATAAGAGGAGTAATTAATTGTGAATGTATTGTTGATGTTGAAGAATGTACTAGGATTCTTTCATCAAAAGAAAAGAAAATCTACCGTCATTTTTCGAAATTAGATGGTTTTTATTACAGTAATGTCAAGTTAAAGTTTTTTATTTCCGTTGTCTACAACTTTTAGGTCATTCTGATATACATTACTGACTATCTTCTATCTGTGTATGTACTGTCTCATGTGTACTTGAATGTCCATGTACGAGTGCATGATGAGATAGATAGAAGTATGAAGTTCACAGGAAAAAATGAAGCCAAGGATATTTCTTCAAGTAACACGAACGAAATACACGTGACAAGAATGACAAAAAGTAGGTAATCCCATTGGACAGGGTAAGTTTGAAGGAATGAAGAAAACGATAGAGAGTGAGGGAAAAGCATTGACATGAAGGACCTTTTCTTACTTTTCTTGTCGTTCCTCTCTTTATTTCTTACCTTTCTTGTCTATCTCCCCTGTACCTAGGGAAAAGTAGCAACCAGTAATGGTGATAGTATTCGACGATCTATAGCCTTCGTCACTGGTGTCCAATGAGCTTCACTCAACCCACTTTTAGTTCTTCTCCTTTTTCAATCTCAGTCTTGCGGTCACTATAACCACTACAATCCCGTGAACTAGACTATTTCGTTCTGATTAAATTCTTTCTATCAATTCCTTTTATTATAATCATCATTATTTTTATTTCCATCCAAATGGTTAATTGGTCTGGTGCTGATAAAACAAGATGTTGGTGGTTTTTGCTGTGTTTTATATTCCACGTTTGATTTTGCCTAAAGCTAACTTTATCGGCTGAAAGATTTTACTGTCGACTGGCGTCACAAGCTTGTTAACATGACGCTCATCCCATTGCACCCTACATGTCATGGTCGTAGTCACTAGTCAGCTGTGGCTCCACTGTTCACAGAACTTTGTAGTTTGCTATGTATGTCAGAGAGCTCTTAGTTAAATCACAAATAAAGACAATAGCAATCTTGTAGGTCATAGTGATGTGATGAAACGGAAAAATAGAATATGCGTATGTCATAATAACGATATTGAAATGTACTACTTTCTATGATCTCTTTCAAGCATCACAAAGCAGTGGAAATTGCTGGGGAACATTTACATTTTCCAATATTCTACGTGCTGGTTTATCTTATTTACACAGTTTTCGTATCATAAATGGATACTGTGCAGCTGCTACACGTGTATTTGATATGAGATATAATTAGATTTTAGAAAAAGTTTGACAATTGAATTTTCCTAATTGAAATTGACAGTTGGATTTTTCATTCTGATAAAAAAAATTCTACTCTTTTTTACAAAGTATTAATTGTGAAGGTTCAATGTATTTTTAAAAAATTATCAGTCAAGTTTTTGAATACATTATTGAATAAAAAAGTATTTTAAACTGAAACAAAGCATTTTGGAATATTGTTTTATAAATTCAAGTGACCTACAATTATGATTTGATTAGGAACAAAGTTTATAAAGAAAATTTCCTTAACGTTCTATATGTTAATGTTATGTTTTGTCCAAGGTATTCTACTTTGGCCCAGTCTTTTTTCTATGTAAGTTACTAAGTATCTAAAGCCTTGTTGGTTGATATTTTAGCCGCAAGAGAAGATGAAAAACTTGAAGATCTACGTAGAAACTGTCAGATGATCGCTGAACCAAGTGAACTCGAATATTTCAATCGTCCAAAGGACGTCTTATCTTTTTTCTGAAACTTCAGTTGGTCTAGCAGTCGTACAGTGATGCTTGGAAAGTTGTTTCTGACATTTCCAAAAGCTCCAAAGGGTGGTCAAGTGAATTATTGCAAGTCTCATAGTGAGAGAGAAAGACCAGTCTAGAAAAATACATTAAACTAGAAAAATAAACCTAAGAAGAACCATGTAACTATACTAAAGAACATACAAAAGTTGTTATTCTTACAGATATATTAGCTCTTGGCAATAAAATTGAATGAAAAACTATCATACAACAGCAATATTATTATTTTTTAATGTAACCTTTCTCTACTGCTCTTTTGTATTCATCAATACTACATACTCCAAAGCATCTGCTACAATGAATTCTTGATGACATTGGAACTTTGATAATTAGTGATTTTGTTTCACATGTACTTGTCAATTAAATTCATCTTGAATAGAATTGAAAATTATTTATAAATTATTTATTCCATGAAATAAGATAGCAATAGTAAAAATGTGTTGATCAATTGAGATAATATATTATCAAATATTTCAAGAATTTCCCCGAGTGATTCTTAGATAATTCATAAATTCTTCAACCTCTCTTTTGCAGTGGTTTCGAATTAAGGAGTATGAATGCTTGAGCAAATATACTTTCTGTGTGACTCTTTGGGTTAAAAGTAATTGGAGTAGATAGAGGGAAAAAAAGAGAGATTATTTTTAGTCTTCTCCACTTGTGGGCAAGTCTGACAATGAATTTGAGAATAATGCATGGGTATCCAGGTCGTCTATCTTTTGCAAGAATTCCAGATCGTTAGAAACGTATTAGGGAGTGCGAGAAAGATTGTCAAACGAATCCCAAAGGCCTTACGTCTATTTTCCAATACGACACGCTCAAGGCTCATTTAATTTTTCGCCTCCCTTGCCAATTCTTATTCCAGCCGATGGCAGTACTGTCGTAAAGAGCCTTCCAGTTTTCTTTTTATTTTTCTTCTTCCCTTCCACCTTCAATCGCTTTTCTCCAGTGCTAGACCACTTGCCCTGAGGCTCTCAACGTCTTCAACAATATCCCAAGCACGAAATTCATCCTCAGAAATAGTGTTTCGTATATATAGATAAATATATGTCTTTAGCTCCATCATTCTGTGACGTTTGACTGAGATCATCTATAAAAGCTCGTTTGCAGAGAACACAACTCGTCCGTATAGTTTTACGATGCACCAACTCGTATTCCACGTCATAAAGTTACTCTTCTGCATCACAGTAGTCTTGGTAATATGCACCAAGCGACAAAATACATGCACTTGCGTTGATGTCGTTTTCTAGTGGCAGCCTGGTAGACGCTCCATCTATTCGCTGCCTCAAGAGACACTCATCAAATAAAAAGGACACCATCCTGAGCGTTCTCACCCTCTCTACCTCTTTGCGTACACTCCTATATACCAGGTTTAGCTCAGTCAAATATGTATATACGAGTCTCTATATACGAGTTACGACCTCACTCGCATTTCCTAAGTAAATACGTTTTGGTTTACCCTCGCTACTTGCCTTAACTCATAGCCTCGACATCACCAAATGCACGTGGAAATATGTATATGTGGTAAGAGATGGGTTGGAGATAGAATTGGAATAGTTAATGGGATACTTATTCTACGTGTGTGTATCACCCTCTACGTAAATTATTTGTCTCAACACTTCGGTACAATTTTAAGTCAACTTGGGTTATTTCATCCCTTTAAATACTACTTACTAGGTAAAAGCATTATTATCTTTTAAAAGCAACTTTATTTTAAGTCGCATCATTATTTAATTATTTCAGGCAATACTCACAAATCACTATCATCTACCAGAATCACTGTCTTAAGCAGGAATTATTAATGATCCTATTATGAATTACAGCGAATTAAGTTCATTCAGAAATTACAGAAATTGGGACTCTTGTAACTGCTGAGTACAGACATTTTAATTGCAGAAACGAATAGATCTATTTGAAACGTTTTATATTTTATCATTTTAGATCTTCAACCGATTAAAATAATTTATGTGAAGTTTTTTAAATGAGATAATTTTTTTTTAGTCATCAATTATAGATTAATCAATGAAGAAGATATTTCTATTTCAATTCAATTAGAAGTCACTAATAAATTTTATTTTGAAATGATCAATGTTCATTATTATATTTTGGATAACATTTATTTAAAAAATGTTTCTGAAAGAAAAAAAATAACATAATATTTAAACTTACCCGTCACTTTTATTTGATAAGGTAAATGTGCTCTCCATGTATCCTGCAATTTTCTGTCCGGTGCAACACACCGATACTCTCCGGCATCTTGATAAACTACCCGATTAATAGCCAATGGTCCAGATCCAGCTGGATCCATGGCTGATCCATGACCCCAACAACCACCTTCACACTCAAGTGTAACAGCTCCACCAATTTGCACCTCCATCTTCCTAGTATCCATTGCCTCTCCATTCAAGGCTTCTGCTTCCATTTCTGACTCGGAATTCGCTGCAATGAATAATAGTTTCAATTAGACCAAGTAAAATTTCTTTAGTAATTGAAATTTTTTTCATTACTGCCAGGTTCTTTAAAGTATTAACCTACTGGAGTTATTTTTTAAGATTATTCATGTACTCGAGTTCAATGTCTCTATATATTACAGAGATAAAAATGAGAAATAATGAAGTTATAGTTATAAATACACCAGATTAAAATGGTTTAATGAAGAAACTTGAATTAAAGACCACCGTTTAAGAACATTATTAGTTTTTTCAGACTGGAAATTGCTGGACTTTATTATGTTTAATTTGAAAATGTTATTTCTGTTCTTTATTTGATTATAACTATAGAAGAATAATTTAAAAATAAAACTCAAAAGCTAGTAAAAGATTCTTAAAATGATTTGTATGAGTTAGAATTTTGAAAATGATTACAAAAGTTTTTGTTCCAAAGATACTTCTCAGTTATTCATTGAGGCATGAACTTCTAACCAAAGGATTAATTTTCAACGGCAATAAAAAAAAACATTAGTTATGAAATGATTTATATTTTTACAGTTAGGGTCAAGCACGTGCCAAATCTTGACTTGAGAGTCGACGATCGTTGCACCGAGGCTACGTGATATGTATGTACAGAGAGATAAAGAGCAAGAAAGGATAGGATGAGATTGAAAGCCAGGAAGCATCATCTACCGTTGCTCGTCTTTGTCGTTTCCAAGTCCAGAAGAGATCTAGCGGGGTATATCGAGTTAGTTGAGCACGTTCCAGGGATAAACTTCAGCTATATTGTATAAGACTCATGCTCTTGAGCCTGCACCTGCACTGACACGAACTCCATCCTACCACCAAGACTAAATCATTCTTCTCTATATACACTATGACACTGGACTTGGACGTTTTTCAACAATTTACGTTCGATCGTTTATTCTTAAGTTAATGTACTTTCACCAGGGCTACTCATCTTCACCATTCTTATATAGACAGGTACAACTATCGAGCTATACAATTAGTTATATGTAGAAGAAAGATTAGTCGTTAGACTAGAATCGATAGAAGAAAAAGGTGAAAAGTAACAACGAGACTGGAAAAAAGAAAGGGGTTAACACGAGCGTGTCGACCGGATGCTAGACTCTAGAGGATGAGAGAGTGCTAGCTTTACGACTCAAGAGAAAAAAAACTTTAAAAGAAGTAAAAAAAGTTTTAAGATGGGCAGAAAGAGTGCCATGAAAGTCTCTGGAATGCCGAGTGAATCCGTTCTTCCTGTTGCACAACAAAGGATTAAAGATTTTTTCAGTGAGTGAATTTTTCTTTTTTCTAATTAGTTAATGGCAAAGTATGAACCAGTGTTGATGGAATAGCTTTAATTATCAGGTATAATCATGCTAAATGAAATGGCGACATATCAAAGTAGAGTAGTAGCAACAGCATGGCAATCCTAGTAGATCTTGGCTTACGAATTAGCTTAGTGACATGGTGGGTTCATAGAAGCTTCTAGTGTTGAATTGTAGAGCATGTAACGCTGGGATAAGTAATCCAGCGGTATTTGAACGCGATGCTCAAGCGTGTAATCGATGATTACCAGAGAAGAGAGTGAGGAGATGGGTTCTGGTTTATGGGCCTTGGAGCCGCCCAAATTGCGAAGAGATTAGGCGATCGGAAACTAGCATACCCGGATCATCAGGGCAAGCGTCGACATACAGAAAGCACACGTTTGGATAAGGCGACGAGAGGCAAGAGTATGATGACAGTGTATAACAGGCTGGAGAGCAACGACTAGTAGGCAAGAGAATGATGCTAGGAGTCTGCGCCCAACACCAGATGGCTTCCAATCGTTCCCAATGGCTTCCAGTTGCCACAGCTTCCAGCAGAGAGGAAATTTGCAAATTTTCGCAACGAGACGCGAATAATTTCCGGACGACCTGGCGGTTTCCTCTCTTGACAAATCACTGCGGTTTCCCTATTATCGAGAACACCTCGCTCCTAAACTTCAAAGCTCCCTTGTCGTTATATCCAAAATTGATCTACCTAATATTTCATAATGATAACTACCACTTTGTTCGACTAGATAACATTTACATTAATATTCTTTACATGCATGCTCTGCTATAATATTTCATTTTTCAAATAATCAGGAAATATTTTAACTATGAGCATCGATTTAAAATAATGTCATAATAACAGAGAAATAGTTAATTTTGGAATCATTTTATATTAATATAATTTTAAGACTATCCAAGTCCTCAGCATGCTAACTGGAGATTAAATTAAGATTTCTACCGATGAAAACTGAAAGAAATAATCCCTCAGTAATTTAAATATTAATATACCTTTTCACACGTACTTTGTTATGATAATTCAATTATTAGATTAATAAATATTTATAATTGTTGGTGAAATAACAAAGACTTTTTTCAACTACCACTTGGCTGAGTAATTCCATCTCTTCCTCGATTATGAATTAAATGAAATAGTTACTCTGATACATCTATCTTTAATGCACATGAATTTTTTTTATCAGCCAACCTAGATTTCTAATTAGCTATTATGATATGAATCAGTGTAATTTATGATATGAATTTATTTGTTTGTTTGTAAATTATCATGTGTTTCGGAATTATTTATGGCAGTATTGTTGATCACTGAACAATATGGTGGTGATTTTTATTGGTTTAGACTCACATCGAACTGCCAGGAAGTATCCAATACTCGAAAGAAGACCCGAAAGGTATTTAGTACAACATTTGTACCAGCCGCTGTCTTCCCTGCTGATTCGGGTAAAGTTAAGCCAGCCGTCGTCAGATTGTTCTACTGGAGGACTTCTGTCATCTGTAACGTGATTTTTTGTATTATTAATAATATTCACATTTCAATATTATGTTAGATATAAAAGAAAAGAAGTATCCCGATGTAATAAATTCTTTTAGAAAGAATTATTATTTTTTTACAGTCAATGATTTATATTAAAAATCCTTCACATTATTATGAAAAAGAAATATTTGGTAAAATTTATTAATAATTAATTTATAATTTACATTTATCTTGTAACAGACTAAAAACTATTTTGTTAACAATATAAACCTTTGTTTATCAGAGAATAATTTGTTTTGTTAAATTAACGTTTTTAATTTTTAATATAAAAAATTCCAATCAATTTATCATGATTGGATAACTTTATTTTTAACAAGTAAATTATAACGAGAAAAACATTTATTAAATCTTGAATAAATTTTGTGATTAATTTTTGATGATAAATATTTGTAGTTTGTAGAAAAAAGTTTGAATATTCATATTAAAAATAATATTCACTTGAACGTTCAGCTGATTGATTTTAAATGATTAATAATCGAGATAAAAGATTATTCTCTGTGTCGATTGGGAAAAATATTTTTTCAATTTCAATAAATTTATTAGTGAATGATATTCAGATTAGATTGAAATTTTTATCACGATGAATTGTGTTATGAGATTCCAATTGATTTAATTTTAATAAAAAAAATTGTCTAAATTCTATTCATAGCATCAAATCCGCTTAATTTTTCATTCTTTAATCTAATTATTCTACTAATTCATCCGATTTTCTTATCAGCAAATTCTTTTATTTCTTTTTCTCTCAACTCAATTTATTTCTCGGTGGAAGAGAATTCTTCAATATTAATAAACTCAATTTTCAAGAAATAAATAATTTTTTTCCGAATTTAATTATCGTTTTTCCCACAAAATGTCAGTAAAAATTCCTCACCATAAAATGACAGATACAAAATGATTCTTCAAAGTTGTAGAGTTTGAGTTATTTCTCTCATCTATATACACATGTAATAAAGTTTCCTGAGAAACTTGGTGGATAGCTCACTGGCGTAAGGAAATATATAGGAGTATGAGAAGTATCTTTTGAGAGTAAGAAAACTAAAAAAAAAAAGTATATTCACATCTACCATCAAGGATTGCACAATTATGTGAACTGTGTCTGAGAGATTTGAAGGTAAATCTTGAAGAAACTGACTAAAAAATGAAAGATATAAAATAGGCCGTGGTTCACATTAGACTCTATAAAAAGAGGGCGTGGATAGATATGAACCTGGAGAGGTCCACACCACCACCAACTTTCCTTGGAAAAAAGGAGACAAGGGTATAGGCCTACCTTCTTCATGAATATCATCTGCTTTAGAACTACCAGTAAAAAATTTTTTATAGAGAAGACCATCATTTTTAATTCTAGAACTTATTACAACAGCTTTCCTAGATACTGGGGAGCCAATAAAGAGTGTATTTCGTGGTAGGTATAATAAATGTATCAAAGACACCATGGTGACTTGGCTGGAGTAAAAGAGGTTTTTCTTGGCTTGGTGAACAAATGACGCGAAAAGACCAATTTGGCCATGAAAACAACAAAGCTTCATTGCTTACATCATCATATTGGATGCTAAGGTGCAGTATACTATAAATTCAGATAATATTTTTCCTATTTTTACAAATGCTGCTTCAGTGACATGATATTTCTCTTCTTCTGCCAATTCAGCAGATACTCAACTCAGTACAATTAATTTGATATTCTCGAGGCTCTTTTTTTATTTATTATCCAATTAAAAGCATTTTAATTAGGATATTTATTAATTTTCAGGACTGAATCATTCCTTTCTTTCTTGATGAACAAAAAAATTTTTAGGGTAAATATAATTTATTGTTTTATGAATTTTGCATCCAATCCAATCAATCATTCAACTCACCAATTACTTGGAACTATAATCAACATTAATTATTATTCACAAATTGAGTTGTTAAATAGCACAGGATATCGTGAATGCAAATAAAACTGCAATTCAGTGAATTGCTGTGGTTTTTAATTTGCATTTTTAACGTAAATTTTTTTTTGTCAGCTTCTGCATGAAATTATAGAATAGAGTATTTAAAAAGTTTGAAATAATTTGTCATAAAGTTTGGAAATATGATATCTTCTGACTTTTTATCTATATAATACTAATGCGAATAGAAAAGAAGTTAAAAATTTTACCATTAGCACTTTTATACATTGAAAAGTATTATACTCACAAATAGCTCTTGTGCTCTTTTATTCTTTGCTACATCATACTTGGTTAAAAAGTCAAGTCTGAAGATTTTGAGATAATTGTGATGCACTTGAGGTTTAATGGGAAGTGTATGAATAGGCCACAAATTTTATGAGAGTCATTAAAATTTTTCAAAGTGTTTTTCTCTTCTGTCTTTCATCGTGAATCATAAAAATAAAATTAATCTTCTCCAAAATGTTTATCAGATGATATTTTAATCATGAATGAATTGAAAAAATTATATCAAGGATTTATAACTCACAATGAATAATTTTACATGAAGTAAGAAGCTATCTTTCGGCATTTCTTTATGTAAATTATTTTCAACAATGTTGATTTATTCAGTATACATTTTTTATTATTATTATTAATAATAAAAGAGAAATTTAAAAGTGTACTCAGAGAAGAAAAAGAGTGTGACAAGTTGATATAAAATCAATGTTTTACCTAGTTGCCAAATTGGTAGACTTGATGGATTGCTATCGACCTCACACTTCAAACTGAAAGGCATCCCTTCAAAGATAGGAGTTCCAAATCCAGGAAATCGTATTATCGTGAACGACGGAGAATCTGAAAAATAAAATGTATTTAAATGTTTATTTTATACTGAATGATACACTTGAGTTTCTTTTTTTTTTTTTATCTTTTTGGTGGGCTACACAAATCTTACCATATTGAAGATTGATGACTTTGATGGCTTTGATGAAAGACCATCAATATTTTATAGACAAAAATCTATATTTCAAGAATTAAATAATTTATATGGGAATGAATTCATTAATTACTCCAAAAAAAAAAATGGTGACCCAAATTAAGATTAATTGTCTTGAAAAAATTTTTAAATAGAAAATTAAAGTAAAGTGTAGAAACTTTTAAATAGTATTTTGAAAACTTCACTGCAATTATCATTCTAGAAATTACCTCACAGAAGGAGCCAAGTTAATTTTATCTCTAAATTGTCCTCGATTTTCTTCCTGACATATAATTTACAAGAAAAAATGAAGATTTTTGGAAAATTATCATTTGGCAAAAACATTACTGCTGGAGTTTCACACTGTGACATATCCTGCTGATTCATTATAATGATTAAAATGACTAGAAAAAAATTTTCCATAAATTTTATAGTTGCATTAGAAGAAGTTATCAATGAATAAAATTTATTACCAGCTTCTTTCCTTTCTTCATAGCATATATTACTCTTCATTGTTTTTTTTTCTTGGAAAAATTTATTATTTCATATGCGTGCCCGAAAAAAAACATGTTTTAAAATAAAGTTTTACATTTTTTTTTTTTTCACAGAGATATTGTTCTTTTCCAACGAAAATTAATATATCCACGAAGATGAAACAATTAGGATGCTGTTGATGAATAAATAGATTGCAATTTGAACATGAGAGATGATTATTGCTAAGATTAGATCAGTTATTAATTGAAGAAGCATCAAATTCCTCTATCAAAGTCTCTGAAAGGAATGACGGAGTTATTTGGCCAGCCGTAATAGTGCAGGAGCTAAGACAATACCGTGGTTAATGAAAGCTCTACTACCACCTCGTCTGCCATCTACTTCAGAACGGATTATATGATGAGGCAAATACCAAATAAAGCGAGCAATGTAATACAATAAGAACCATCGAGGCATTTTATCTGATTATAATTCTAAACCAATTTTAAGCTCCGTTCTATTAGATAGGTATTTATTTCATTATTCCAAAAATTTATTGCACTTTTAATTACTTGAGACAGACATAATGAAAGTATACCACTTATCAATGGATAGTTATAGTCATTAAAATTTTTTTCAATCAAATTCCATGGTAATATCACCTCGCTCATGAAACTTGCAAATTGTCTCAAAAGTTGAGAAAAGTATTCAAAGTCTTGGGTCATGAATGATTAAAGTTTACACGATGTTTTTTTTCTTGTCGAGGATTTTTTTTTTCCAGTTTATTTTATGCCGTGGGAAATGAAGAAGCAGAGTGAAAGACAGGAGTACTTGGAGGTTTAAATTTAACAAATTTTCAGTAATGACATATTTATGCAAGCCTATTAAATATTTATGAATCTTGAAGGACAATTTTTTCATATTGTAACCATAAAATAAAACATTCCAATCGCTTTTAAATTTCATTACTGTTATTAAAGCATATACAAAGGGTTTTCATTAGTGATTCGTTGGAAAATTTATGCAAATCATTTTCCCCTTTATTTTTATCTTTATTCTTCATCTTTTTATATCTCTCTTTTTTCTATCTCCAACCCCTCGATTCGACAATTTCCATGGTATTATTTCGATGAACGAACGTGACAGTCTTCCGAAAATTAAGAGGGCGAGGAGTAAAGGAAAACCAGGATCAGACGTGGTCACAGTGAATAAGGAATAAAATGAGTCAGACACACATGTAAACGTGACGAAGAGAAAAAAAGGGTGAAAGGAATAAAAAAAAATTCGCAATCATGAGGAATAATCTGTTGGTATGTATCGTAAAGTAACGATACAAATCTAGGGAGAGCTTAGAATATAATTGCGAATAGCAATGTGGCCAACTCTTTCTCTCTTATTCTTGCATAGTTTTTGTTCTGTTATTCTACGTTGAACGCGTGAGTCCAAGCGGAAAGAAAATCGCTGTCGCATCGTTTTAATGAAGTGTCGTCCGCACGCCATTTTATACGTTCTAGTGGGGAGGGAGGGTGGTGTTGCCTCGTGCAAGGGAATGGGAAAGGGTGAGAGAGACACTTCTGTGCTGATGGTAAAGGTACGAATTACATCGGTAGCAGTATTAAAAAAATCTGACAGTGGCAAGTTTAAATCGTCGTCGACAGAATGGACGTAGAGAAAAATATTCTAGAAAAAAAAACTAAAAATGAGATTGATGTAGAAATTCTCGTTTTAGTAATGAAAAAATAAAAAGATTGAAGAAAAGTGCAGGTAAAGGATAAGCGAGTTTCGCTCTAAATCTTCTAGAGGATGAGGTGACTGCAGCTCTATTGGATTTTCGATGATAGAAGGATCGACACAAACTCGAGCTTACACTGAAATTGCGATAAGTCTTTATAAGCACGTTTAAGATTGCTTTGCATCACCAAGAAATAAGTTAAAATAAAGATCCTAGTGAGCGATAAGTAAACCAAATGGAAGGATAATAATGATGGATCGATGATGGAAGATATATTTCAAGAGTAATACACACTACAAAAAAATTGTTGAGTGAAAATTAGCAGCTTAGACAAGTTAAAAACAAGCCAAGAGCTATGATAAAACTCATCAAAAGCTTCAATCATTTTTTCAATACAAAAAGAAATTGAATTGCATCAGATGGTCTAGGGTGACAACAGCGTCTTGTTGGGAGCAGTTTTTTTTTTTTATTGTTGTAGAATAATAATAATAATAATAAATATATATATATATATATATAGTTGAGCCAATAACTAAAGATCAGACGCAAATCTCGTTGAGACTAGGAATACATTTGTCGTCAAGCTGCACAGAAAGTTTCCTTCCATTCCAGATCAGTGGATTGATTGCAAGTGACAGCGTGTTCAGTACAGAGTCGACGTGCGCGCTTCTATCCTACTGTACACCTCCCGAGTCCTGTTAACGAGCTGCGTCCTGTATAAATTTTGGATGCAAATCGATGGGGAAACACGTCTTATCCGATCACGTCAGTGAACACAAGTCATCGTTCGTTGGAATTTCGATATATATCTGTATGATATTTTCTCTAACCATCACAACGCTGTTTATTTATTTATTTTATTCCAATTTTTTTTCATTTTTATTTTTATTCATATAATAATAATGACAATGATGAATACTGAGCTAAAAATTATATTCTCAGTAATTTGTATATGATTTATTGATGTTGGCATATTGTATAGAAGTTTTATTTTTGTGATCAATAAAATTAAAATTTTTTTTGTGCTACGAAAGAACTAATATTTGATTTTGATTGAATGTTTCACTTTGAATCAAAATATAATTTCAATTTTTTTATAGCTTTTGTGATGTGTAGTTTTATGTAAAAAGAAAAAAAAAAATTTTTTAACAAAGCGTCGATTACTGCAGTGAAAGAAGAGTTTAATTTGTATGACAAAAAATTGTTTTTTAATCTTTGTGAAAGTACTTTCTGCTGTTATTATTTAACAATTACACCAAATATTTTGTCATAATCCGTTTTTCCAATGAATAAATATTAACATTGAAAATATAGTTTCATAAAAATTTAATTCAGTGATTAGCATCATGTTGGAGACTGTAATTGCAACTTTTAAATTATAAATAAGCTTGAAAGTATGTTTTAAAATAATAATCATCATTTAAAAGAGTGAAAAAAAAAAAATTGGAAAGAGATTAATGGCACGTAACTGCAGCATGTAAATAATTAATAAAATAGCTTTTTACTTAAGAAGTTAAAATTTGAAAGTGTCAAAGAAAAAATGTGGCAGGTCCAGGTTTCAACTCAAAAACCAACGAAGCTCGTTATATCTCCGAGAGTTAGTCCAAAATCTTTGGCTTAACGGATAAGTGAGAGTGAGTGAGAAGCATTCGGAATGATGGACAGAGTTGAAGAGAGAAAAAGAACATAAAGGGTTCTTGGTGAAACGAGTATCCACATTGGTGGTGTTAGAGCTGCGCAACATTAAAGGGAAATACACTACTTGAAGGTGAAGCCGAGCGAAACGAACGAGGAGCTTTAAATTTCCACTTAAGGTAGGAGAAGGTTAGAGGCCTCTAAGCTGCCTTGAAATACTTTGTGCAACACGTCAAGAGACATGTAAATTGTTATTAAAGTATAAGATAGCATAAGACATCTTTATCTCACCGGATTTGGAGTCTTTAATCAGAATAATGAGACAACTTTGTGCTCTAATTTTTGCTTTATACAGTGCACTAGAATTTAAATGCTGATAATTTTATCTTGAAAATTTTTCTTTCAATGATAATTTGATTATTAATTAGAAGACAAATGTTAGATTATTAGTTGCACTAGAGTACAATTCTAATTAGAGAAACAAACTAGAAATTCTGCTTTTGAAAATTTTTATTTTAAAAAAAGTTGATGAATAAAACTAGTAAAAAAAACTTCATTAAAATTTTTTAGACCAAAGTTGAACTTCATCTGTGGGTTTTGATTTCTTATTCAGTTATCTTAATAATAATTTATCTCAAGTTTCCAACATTTATAGTATTTCATTACATTACTCAACTAAATATAGGTCTTGATTAATGAATATAAGCATCTTAAAATGGTTCTGAGTAATAATTAAGATAACGATTTTAATTTTTACTACATAAGCTAGTGTGGTTTTATTTTTGTCGAATGCTTTTTTGATATTAATTCTAAAAAAATTTTGAAAATGAGTCAAGTTAATCCTATTAAAGATATAAAATATGACACTTGATATTGGATAATTTTTTTTTTCATATTCTTATTTAATAATATTTGTCATCTTATAAAAGTATTGATCGATAAAACATCAATCTTTTTATTGTAAATTGATTTGCACCATAAAAATAATTAAGTTATTTGAATCAATGCTGGAATATTAGCACAATCTCCAAAGATCAATGG